ACATCATTAACCTCAGCCTTCAGGTTCACTGATGCCATGTTACCCAGAGGCACAGTGCTGGTCCTGAAGGATCAGCCAGACTACAAGTGTAGCTAACTCTCAGCCTATGTCACATAGTTAGACCATCCAGTGGGACCTGACCCCTTGTCCTCAAGTAGCTCTTACTCTAAGCTTATTCAAGTGTAACTCAAGCTTCCCATCCTAAGTTATGCTGTTAAACTATCCATCTCAACCCAAGATTCCAGCAAAGACATGAGAAAAACATTTACCAATGTCTTTCCAGAAACAGAAGGCAAAACCTGACTTCTCTTGTGCCAAAGCCAAATTCTAACCATACAAATGGAATGAAAATCTTTAAGATTTCTTATATGACAAGAATGTACTTTTCATATATATATATATATATATATATATTACTTTTTTCTTAAGCTTTTTTACTTTTTTTCTTGAAATCAGAGTATCAATAACTAGAAATATATTATTTATGGGTACTTGATCTCAAATATTTGGAAAGCAGTAGCTGTTCTCAATTCAGCTATTTTATCTTAATCACTTCATTATCTAACCCCCCCAAAAAGAGAAATCTTGGGAAAGTATGACATATTGTCTGTTTAACTAAGCATTTTAGGTAATTTTAAGGGGCTATCATTGTATCAGGTTATATATATATTTGGTAAACTAATTCTGATTGTGGCTAAGATTATTATTGTAATTAGCTTAAGAGCCAATTTCCAAGTCTTAGTATATTCACTATAATTCTATCCCTGAACCTATACTGGTAATAAGGTCATGGTCTTCAGATCCGTAGATATGTAATAGAGATTTATCTTGGGTTTATGTGAAACTAAGAGTCTGTCAGGAGTCTCATTTAATTAATTAATTAATTGGCTGATTTTTGTGCTGGCACTAAGGCTTGAACTCAGGGCCTTATGCTCTTGCTTAGCTTTTACTTCCTCAAAGCTGGCACCATGCCACTGGAGGCATACCTTTACTGCTGGCTTTTTGGTAATTAATAGGAGATAAGAGTCTCTCAGTCTTTTCTATCCAGATTGGCTTTCAGCCATGATCCTCAGCTCTCCTAGTTAAGATTATATATGTGAGCCACTAGTGCCTGGTAGGGAGCATCACTTTAAACATACAATTACACAAATATGTAATCACCCTTGAGATATGTAATATGATGTGACACAGGTTTAAGGTGCCATGATAAAGATAGATAGATAGATAGATAGATAGATAGATAAATTAGATAGATTAGATAGACAGATAGATATAATGAGATGATCTGTTTAATCCAGAGAAAGCCTTGCCTGGGAAGATGGTTTGAATTGATGTTAGTGGGGTGGAATGTGAAGCATGTTGTTTTAGCTAAGGTGCTATAAGGAATCACAATTTCAAGAGATGAGACACCCTGAGAATCATAGCAGAGAGAGAGGACAAGGTGAATTTATGAGTACCTTCTCCCTAAAGAACAGGGTATAAGGAAGATAGCAGTGCCAGGTGAGATGGCGTCTTGGGTAAACCAGAAGAATAGACACAAGTTGACTGTTATGAAGCTTATGTATTTTATCTGAGAAAAGAGAATTTTTAAGTGTTTCAGGTTTTTGGTTCTGATTTTCCTTTATAGAAATGGGTGTATTGGCTGGGTGCTGGTGACTCACACTTGTCATTCTAGCTACTCAGGAGGCTGAGATCTGAGGATCACAATTCAAAGCCAGCCCAGGTTAATCTCCAATTAACCACTCAAAAACCAGAAGTGGAGCTGTGGCTCAAAGTGGTAGAACTCTGACCTTGAGCAAAAGAGCTCAGGGACAGCATCTAGGCCCTGAGTTCAAGCCCCATGACTGACCAAAAAAAAAGGAAAGAAATGGGTGTGATGAGCACAGTTGCTGGTTTTTCTTTTGTTTTTTCTTTCTTCCTTCCTTTTTTTTTTTTGTTGCCCATCCTAGGGCTTGAACTCAAGGCCTGGTTGCTCTCCCCAAGCTGCTTTTGCTCAAAGCACTAGCTAGAGCTAGTGCTCTACCACTTGTGCCACAGCTCCATGTCCGGCTTTTTTGATATTTAATGGACATAACAGTTTCATGGATTTTCCTGCCTGGGATGGCTTCCAACTGTGATTCTCAGATCTCAGCCTCCTCAAGTAGCCGGACCAAGGCATGAGGCACTGGCAACCTGTCACAGTTGCATTTATTTCAAAGAATATTCTAGCCAGATGTCTATGGCTCACACCTACAATCTTAGGCACCAAGAAGATTGAGACCTGGAGGATGATGATCTGAAGCCAGCCTGGGCAGAAAAGTCTTTAAGACTTCTTTCTCTAACTTACCGGTACAATGCCAGATGGCAGGCATGGCTCAAGTGGTAGAGTGCTAGCTCTGAGCACGCAAGCTGAGTGAGCAGATAGGGACCAGAGTTCAGACTCTATATGATCCAACATTCATTAATTAAAGGCTAGTCTGGGCAATAAATGAAGAATTCAACAGGACAAAGCAGCAAGTAGTGATCAAATAGCAGGTGGAGGCCAGGTCAGGAGAGAGATATTGGTACTTTGGGTAAGGACAGAGGCAAAAGTGATGGAAAATGATGGACAGATTTAAGACTTAATGATGAAATTGTGAGGAAATTGAAAAGCAGGAGAGTTGAAGAATTGTCATCCCCATCTGTAATCCTAGCTATTCAGGAGGCTGAGATCTGAGGATCATAGTTTAAAGCCTTCTGGAGTAGCAAAGTTTATGAGACTCTGATCTCCAATAAGCCAACAAAAATGCAGAAGTGGAGCTATGGCTCAAGTTGTAGAGCACTAGCCTTGAGTGAATAAAGTGCAGAGACAGCACCTAAGCCCTGAGTTCAAATTTCAGGACTGGCATCCAAAAGAAAACACTAGAATTGTATGTCACAAAGTTTCTGGAGAAACCACAGCTGACTAGAAAAAGCTAACTCTGTGGAAAAGAAGGTCAAGGCTTTGGGGAGGCTTAAAAAAAGGAGCGGAAGAGTTGGAGTCAAGATTAGAATTACAGGAGAAGCAAGAGGCAGAAATGGAATAACTAAACACAAAAAGCAAGGATCTGAGGACTAGGTATCATTGAAGTCCACGCAACTATCAAAAGAATTTAAGTGACATACTATGAAGCAAAACCAATTTTTGTTTGCAAAGGGATAAAATGAAAAGAAAGAGTAAGAGACAGTAGCAGGAACACCTGTTGGCAAGATGGAGGGCTTTTGGAAGAGATGAAGGGTATTAGAGACTCTCCATTAAACAGGTGACTATAGATGGGCTCATGCCTGTAATCCTAGCTACTCAGGAGGTTGAAATAAGAGGATCAAGGTTCAAAGCTAGCCCAGGCAGGAAAGTCTGTGAGAGACTCCTATCACCAGTTAACCAGAAGTGGCACTATGGCTCAAGTAGTAGAGCGCATACCTTGAGCTGAAGAGCTCAGGGAGAGTGTCCAGGTCCAGAGTTCAAGTCCCAGGACCAACAAAATCAAACCAAACCAAACCAAAAAATAACAACAGGTGACTAGGAGGACTTTTGAGAACAGAAATATAGAATGTCTGATCCTTAAATATTTATTTGTTCTGCCTTGTAGGATACAGCCTGTTGCATCACTTTAAAGTTTTTGATAGGCCATCTTGTGAGGAAATACTTGGTGTTGGTATGTTTTATGGTAAAACACAGGAAAGGGGCTTATTGTGTTGTCTGAAGCTGCTTGGTATGCTCAAAGAATGAATATATGTAGACCAAGAGAAAGGTGGCTGAAAACAACAAAATGCCTTCCCCTAATTCAAGAATTTGCAGAAGTATGAGAAATTGTTTCCGTTTTAGGGAATCTTGACTTTAAGGGACAGGAAGACCCCAACAGACACTAAATAACCAAATATCTACCTGTGTGTTAACTGAGACCACCTAATATCAAAGAACAAGTTGTGTGTGTAGCCAACCAGCAAAGGACTTTTATTTTATTTTATTTTTTCTAATATATATATATATATATATATATATATTATTGTGAAAATACTGTACAGAGGGGTTACAATTACATGGGCAAGATAATGAGTACATTTCTTATCAAGCATTGTAGCCTCCTCCTTTGTTTCCCCTTCGCATCCCTTCCCATCCTCCCCCCACCCCCCTCCCCAACCCTCCTCCCCCTCCTCCTACCAAAGTCAGCAAAGGACTTTCTGTTTGGATCTCTTTCAACCATTTAAGCCAATATGCCCAGATTATAACTGTCTGTTTATGTCTTTGCATGTGTCCATCTGTGCATGCGTGCATGAACGTGTGTGTGTGTGTGTGTGTGTGCAATGTTAGGGCTTGAACTCAGGTCCTAGGTGCTATTCCTGAGCCTTTGTGCTCAAGGCTAGCGCTCTACCATACCTTCATTTTTAGTATTTTTCTGGTTATTTGGCAATATGAGTCTCTTAGATTTGTCTGCCCAGGTTGAAACCCCTATCCACACTCACATTTAGTGCCCAGATCATTAGACCTTAATGTTTTTCTTTAAAAGGTATCAATAATCTCTTAACTTTCTCTCAGGATAATAAAATAATGTTCACAGAAATTATTTTTGTTAATAGAAAGGTTAAAGATACAAAGGCTAAGGGGGATTTAAATAGTTGATTTAGTCAATTTTCAGTTGAGAAACTGAAGCCCTGGTACCAGGATTTGAACTCAGGCCTCAGGCTTACTCAACTAGCATGCAAGGCTCAAGCTCTGCCACCTGAGCCACATTTCCAGGCTGACATTTTGTTGGTGAACTGGAGATGGAGTCTCACAAATTTTTCTGCCCTGGCTAGCCTTGAACCATGGTCCTTCTAAGTCTCAGCCCTTCTAAGTAGCTAGAATTATAGATGTGAGCCACAGGTGTCCAGCTAAAACGAATTTTTTTTCCCAATGATGCTCATTTCCATAGGAAAAAGAAACACAGTCTTTGTATACTAAATGCCATAGAATTGGTGACAGAATTCTACTGACTGAAATGACTGCTCTCCTTCCCTAACAGCTGGATGCCAACGGGGAACTCCTCATCCGAAATGCCCAGCTCAAACATGCAGGAAGATACACATGCACCGCCCAGACAATTGTAGACAATTCTTCAGCCTCAGCTGACCTTGTTGTGCGAGGTAAGGCACATGCACTTTCAGATTGAAAATCAAAAGACATCTGACATTCAGATTCACATCAAACAATCAGATAGATAGATAGATAGAGAATTTATTTATGCTGGGCAAGCTTTAAAGAATGTTGGTTGTGTTGTTTTCTTCAGATCTTCTGGAAAATAAATGCAGAAGGTTTGTGCTTGAAAATTTAGGACTCATCCATGTTCTCATTTCCTTCTAAGACTTTCTAGTGTTGACTGTTGTACTATTTCTTGTCTATTTTTGTGTGTGGATAGATATTGACCGTTAACGTGGCTCATCCTGACAGCACATGGTATATCTTTATGACTCTCATAAGAAGATTACTGATATACATATCCTGTGGTTATTCATTGCTTATTTTCAAACTACCCCAGCTATAGTTGTCTTTATATCATAGAGGAAGTGAGGGGACCAAGGTGAGTTTGAGATACACTCTCTTTGCTGCTGGCATCTGAGCTGCTGAGTGGAATGTGGAACAGGACATAGAGTGCCTATTAACTGCCTTTTCTCTCATTGACTGTGGAGAAGACAATTCTTTTAAGCTTAGTTCCCAAGAGGTTGTATGCAATTCTTTCAGAATGTCTATGTTCTATTAGTCACCACTCCTCATTGCCAACTACCAATGTTCAAATGATTCACACACACACATACACAAACACAAACACACGTACACATACACACACACAGAGACTACTATGTCTCTATCTCTTCTGGGATTCATAGAATTTAGTATAGGTCTCGTATCTTTTTTTTTTTTTTTTGGTGCCAGGGGCTTGAACTCAGGGATTGGTACTGTTTCTTAGCTTTTTTTTTTCTACTCAAGACTGGTGCTCTCTTTCTAGAGCCATAGTTCTACTTCCAGCTTTTGGGTGGTTAATTGGAAACAAAAGTCTCACAGACTGGGGCTGGGAAGGTGGCTCAGTGGTAGAGTGCTTGCCTTGCATGCCTGAGGCCCTGGGTTCAATTCCTCAGCACCACATAAGCAGAAAAAGGTAGAAGTGGCACTGTGGCTCAAGTGGTAGAGTGCTAGCCTTGAGCTGAAGAGCTGAGGGACAGCACCCAGGCCCAGAGTTCAAGCCCCACAACCGACAAAAAAAAAGTTTAAAAAAAAAAGTCTCACAGACTTGGCTGCTCAGGCTGGCTTTGAACTGTGAACCTCGGATCTCAGCCTCCTGAGTAGCTATAATTACATGAACTACCAACATCTAGTCATCTCATCCTTTCTGTTGCCTAAGTCTTATTGACCTTTTTGGCTCAAGTATTACTAACCTCAGAAATCTTTCCCTGATGTTCCAAATATGAGTGCTATCTTCCAAAATTTCATAAATATTGAGACTTTCTCTGATGTGTTTAACAATAATCTTTGTGTGAGCTATCTTTTGTACTGCTATAAAATTCATATTTGCATGTTCATTCATAAATACTGAATTGCCCTATCCTTTACATAGTTTTATAGTTCTTTTCTCAATGTCACATTAAAATTACAATGCCACGGTTCTTCTTTTGGAAATATTTATTGACCTTTTTTTTTGGTCAATTGTGGGGCCTGAACTCTGGGCCTGGGCGCTGTCCCTCAGCTCTTCAGCTCAAGTATGGTGCTCTACCACTTGAGCCACAGCACCACTTCCGGCTTTTCTGCTTAGGTGATGCTGAGGAATCGAACCCAGGGCCTCATGCATGCAAAGCAAACCCCCTTCCCAGCCCCTTGACCTTTTTTTTTAAGGGTACTGGTAATGGGACTTGAACTCAAAGTCTTACCTTATGTTCTCACTTGGCTTTTTCCCTCATGGATGGTACTCTGCTACTTGAGCCACTACCCTACTTCCAATTTTTTGCTGGTTAATTGGAAATAGGAGTTTCTTAGATCTTTCTGCCTGGGCAGGTTCAAATCTCAGCCTCTGATCTCAGCCTCCTCAGTAGCTAGGATTACCAGTGCGCAAATAGGTTTTTGTTTCGTTTTGTCTTGTTTTGTTTTGTTTTTCCAGATGAGGAATTGAACACAGGGCCTATTGCTTTTGATCACAGGCTGATGCTCTACTATTAAAGCCATACCTTCTTCCCCTTACTAACCATTTTAAAATTTGTTCTTTCCTTTACTCTCCTGCTGTGTTAAAATATCTTCAGTAGCTAGGCACCAGATCTGAGGATTAAGGTTCAAAGTCAGCTTGAAGAAAGTCGTGAGACTCTTATCTCCAATTAGCCATGAGTTCAAGCCCCAGTACAGACACAAAACAAATAACAACAAGAAAAAATACCCTCAGCAACACCATCCATTGTTAGCAATACTTTTCCCATACCTGGGTGAACAAACATGTCTGTCACTAAAACTTCCAAAGAAGGAAATGAAATCAGCATCTTACTTTTAAGCTCTCTGCATATATACTTGTAAGCTATATTACAGTATACTTCTTAATTTAAGTCTGAGGTTTCAATCAGTGAGCAGATAGGAAAAATTACTATTATCTAAAACACTTCATTCTGTCTGATTCTCAACCCCCAAAATATTATACTCCATAGAATTTGAAAATGTTTTGGAAAAAGAGTTGAAACTAGAACAGATAATAGGAAAATTATAGAAATTGTTGTGCCTCAAAACATACTTGTGTTGTTTATGTTATTTTACTAGAAGCTTTATGTTATTTTACTAGAAGCTTTATACCGGTATTTTGTTTATGTTAATTTAATAGAAGCTTTATGTTATTTTACTAGAAGCTTTATCCCGGTATTTTGTCTTAGGTGGATTTTTATTCAGAGAGAACAATTTTGTGCATGTGTATGGGTGTGTGTGTGTGTGTGTGTGTGTGTGTGTGTGTGTGTGTGTGTGTGGGTAGGTGGATGGGTGTGCTTGAGGAAAAATACATAGTCCAGATTAGAAAGCAATACAAGTTAGCTGTCATCTGCATTTGCTGTAATCTATGGAAATTGCTTTACTTGGCCTAATAGCATGGTTGTCAGATTCTTTCTCAAGATGGTCATTTTGGTTGATGACTAAACTACTTTGAAAGTCTTTGGTGCATAAGTTAAGGTAAAATAGCTGAATACACTAACCTAATGAAAGCTATCACGGCATTTTTTATTCTGAGTAATATGGTTATATTTTCAATTATGAGCAATGGTAGTCTAAAAGTCTTTCATATGAAAATGTTCAGGATTCTTTATTACTTCCAGTTGCTCTATACTAGCAGAGATTTTTATCCTGAGCATGCCAATTTTTACCATTCAGGCAAAAATTAATCCAATAATGTGTTTACTTGGAGACATCATCCTACAAATTTCTTTCACAAATAGGGAAAAGTCATTTCTTTGTCTAAATTGAGAATGTTTTTGCAGTCCTATTGTTGTCAATTTCTCCATGGATTCCATGTTTGTCTTTCCACTTCTTCCCAGTAAGTGTGAAATCTTTGCATTTGTGTTGCCATTTGAACATACAATTTTAAGTCAAGAATTATTCTTAGAAGTCACCAAGTGATTTCTCTGTCCTTCATCTCACAACCTTGGACTCTGGAAGAAAAGAATTCCCCCTGAAATCTTTTCTCTGCAGTGAGACACAAGGACCCCAACTAGTCTTCTCAGTGTAGTAGGGTTCTACCCAGTATCAATAAAGAAAATGCATAGTTAATTTCTTACATTCATCATATTAGGAAGATTACCAGCGTTGTCCTAAGTAGTAAAAATTCCTGCTTTAAGTTTTTATCCATTTATCTTTCCCTCTCATTGTCTGGTATATATTGACTTAAAAAAAGTAATTTAATTACAAAAAAATACACTGTAGGAAAAAATAAAGCCAAAGTTACCCATTAGAAAAAAAAAGTTAGCTGATTCTTGGATTACCTAGGGTTTTATTTGTATGACTAACTCAAAGACCTTGAGCCAGCTGCTGGTGGCTCATACCTGTAAATCCTAGCTACTCAGGAAGCTGAGAACTAGGAATTGCATTTTGAAGCCAGCTTGCACCAAAAAGTCTGTGAGACTCTTATCTCCAATTAACTAGTGAGAAGCATGAAGTGGAGCAGTGGCTCAAGTGGTAGAGCATATCAGCTGTGAGTGAAAAAGCTAAGTGAGAGCTCAAAGCCCTGAGTCCAAGCCCCAGTACAGACACACATACACATACACAGACACAGACACAGACACACACACACACATACACACACACACACACACCCTGCATGTAGTAAAAAGAACACAGGATCTGCTGATAATTTATGGAACTCTTGGTGCTAAATCAGAATTTAGATGTCTCTGGTACCTATCCTAAATATTCATATTGTGTTCAAGAATCCCTGTATTCAAAGTATTATTGTTAGATAAGCAGATGAGGATTTATACTCAATTATTTTTGAGGCATGCCAGGCTGCAATTACTTCAAAATAACTTTACTTCTACCAAGTTAATAATCATATAGTTAGGGACCTAAGAGTTTCATTTAATTTCGATACCAATTTAGACATATAAGCACACATTGTACCACACACACTTACATACATACACACACCCTCACCATTTGTAGATAAACATGGGACGATATCCAAGAAATAGATAAGCTTATACCAGCAGCAAGATCCATGTTCACATCATTGTAGTGAAATTAAAGAGATGCTCAAGTATTTGGGGCAGCAAAACACACATTCACCTCAGATACTTGGATATTCGCCTGTGCTTTCCATTGCTTTGGCCAAAGAAATCTTGCCACAGACTCCGTCTCCTCAGCCTTGCTGGATGGAGACAACAAAATGGCCCTCTCTACCCACGCTGGCAAGAATAAGGAGGGCCGGGCTCCATCATGAAAGGCATCATGCTGACCCCATTCTGCAGATGACCACAGCAATACCAAGATTGATACCAAAGCTTCTCCAGAAATGAAGCATTCCCCATTCTTCTGAGAAGAAACAAATTGTGGTCAAAGGCAAGCTTCTTAGGGCCAGTTCTCTATTGTTATTGCAAACTAAACTGGAAATATCCAACTGAGACACAGATCTAATTAT